GTGGGAATATTCAATTGCTAGTCCTTCGTCACTTTAAACGGGATAGGATGAGCACATCTCATATAGATGCGAATTGTAGTTTCGAGCAACAAAGACCATTTAGAAACTTTTAATCCTTAACTCTTCCTAAGATAGAACAAAATGGTGACAGTATATGGCTTACAGAGAATTCAATTTGAAATAACACATTGAACTTGCAAACGAGAATGACTTGAAATAAAGTTCACCTAACTGGCACTTTTACAAAGAGAAGTATGTTCAATAAACGCAGACTATGCAATAATAGTGCGCTTAAAAGTGCAAATAAGATATTCATATTTAGAAAATAAAGCGTAATATATCGTAAATTTGGTAGCAAATGCTATTAAGCGCTAACGCCAAAGCCCCTTAAAACTTAACCTATACACGAACACAGGTTCATGTAGCGCAACAGGTGTATATGCGTATCATTTTAATTAGGAAAGGATACAAATAATAAAGGGGTGGGAGCCTTGAGAAAAAATTGCCGAAGATATGAAAATCTTGATATCACTATATAGAGTGAAGGGAATAAAACAATCGCCATAATGTGCAAAATACCTCAATGACAAAACAAAGTTGATGTGATTAATAAGGACTTAGAAAACAAGAAAATAATATAATGGTGATTTTTAGGCACTTAGTATGCTTCCCAGTTCTTCGGATTGGCTGAGTTCCACCACGCCGCTTGGAACACGAATAACTTGTTCGCGAATAATTATCATTAACAATATTGATGCTAAAATTTGGCCGAGTTTCTGATAGTCCGCTTAATACCGCTAAGTTACGAGAATTGTCATAAGTTGCCATCATCAGCTCCGAGCTTGCTTTAGCTGTAGTTACATCATACAAAGGTCCACGAAGAGCATCAGGTGTAGTTTCTTCAATGATAGTTGCGACAGCTGGCGTCTGGCTTTTGGCTGGAGGCATCGTAAAGGGGTAATCGTTGGCCACGGTAATAATCAAGTTACCGGAGCCATTTGGTTGACAGCGAACAACCCGTAGATTACCACATATGTCAAGGGCACTAATCCGTGGAGCCGAAGAATCGTCGATCAAGGCATACTTGAGAGCATGTTCAGCAACTGATGGGAGGATTGGTGAAGTGGCATTCTTGAGGACCCCCCGATTTGAGGAGCGCCGCAGCATCCTATCAAGCCTAAATATAAATGGAGAATAAAATTAATAAAACATTAATTAATCATTATAAGCTAAGAGAGTTGGATAAAAAAATATAAAAATTAGCTGAGAGATCAGATCTGGTTATGAGCCCCGATCTAGTAAGCACGTTCGAAATTCTGAAAATATCCATTTCTTCTTGCATGGTTTTCGTTTTCAATGCTGCTCATTCAGCAACATTGTAACTTTTTATTCTGGACGACCAGAGACTCTTGTGGTAGTATCAACACTCTTAATATCGTATACGTAAAGACCAAAATGGTGTGGCCTTAGGTTAGGTCTAGGTCTCGCTTCATCTCATTTAGACAGTTACAAGTTACTTTGAAAAATTGCAACTCGGTGCTAAAGATGGCGTCTAATTGAGGATGTAGGTAAAATGTCTAGAAATAGGCCAAGCTAACGGTCCAAGACTAGAAATTATGTCAACTATGTTTAAGGACAAAAAGCTAGGTAATTTTTGCAGGGCGGTTAAATAAAATTTTAAGGCTAACTAATATATAACGTGAGAAAATAATGCCTTGGCAGGAAACTCCTGAACAATCAAATTTTTCAACCCTTTCATGCTGCGTCGGTAGACTTGTGAAATGTTGATTTCTCTTTTATGGCCACCTGAATATTCCATTTACTCAATATAGGCCGTAGCTTCTGAGTTATTTCGCAGGAAGGTAGGCATATCCACTTTTGTGAGTCCTTCATCGTTCTTACTTTTCTTTCATGGTCCCCATTCTGCCATCGGTTTTTTACTGCCCGTATTTTTCCTTTTATCACTTCAAGTGGGTAGCCATTACCGACGAATATCCTCTACAATTTGTCCAGCTCCTCGCCCCAGAATTCTACATACGTTAGGCGTAGGCTTCGTATGATCATGCTCCTCACTATTTCTATCTTCACCCTGTAATTGTGATGGGACTGAAAGTTGAATATTATCCCAGCATATGACTGCTTTCTGAACAATTTCTGTTTGAACGTCCCATTAGAGCGAATCACTTTAACGTCCAAGAACGGTAACCGCTCACCTTCTACTCCTATCGTAAATTGCATTTTTTCATCAATCTGGTTTACAAACTTCAGAAACTCTTCAAATTTTTTTCTTTCACGTGACCAAAGTGCTCTTATCACTTATGGCATATGTATACATGAACAAAATAGAAGAGAGCTTCAAGACGGCACCGCTACAACCGACAGTGCTCATGCGGTATCTGGATGATTACTTCGCAACTTGGTCATATGGAAGAGAAAAACTTGAAGAGTTT